ATGCTCTCGATTAGCTGCTAGAGTTAATGGTCTCGATTCTTAACAACACCTGTGTACTTGTTCATTCATTCTCCGTTTGTTTTCTCCGGTATTACCCAATCAATTGAGTTGATAAATATGTAAATATTAAGTCTATTTCGTTTCGATAAAGTTCATATCCTTAAGAAATGAAGAAAATAGTTTTATCATAGTGGACGAAATGTTTTCTGGCAGCAAATTTATGAAAACGATTTAGTCAAAAATCAAGAAACTTACATGAATATAAAATATTTATCCATAACAGTTAATGATGGAGTGTATTTTTTTAAGAAATCTAAAACAGTAGCATTTCAAATAAGGCATTTCTGATTCGATAATCATTAAGCAATCGATTCAAAGGGAGAGGAAAGTTTCAGGTTATGAACTACTTTATTCATTTATTAGAGTGTCATCTATAGAGTGATCTTGGAATGTTATTTTAAGAAATCTAAAACAATAGCAGTCCAAATATCGGTAACTAAGAATAAAAATATGTCACACATAGAATGAAACTTTTTTCGATTAAAGAATTGATCAAACAATCAACAACAGAACATTCGATTTGTCTGGCAAGACAGAAAACATTCTATTCTTTTATCCATTGCAAACTCTTGACTAATCAAGTTGGTAGTTATCAATGTTAATATTTGCCTCAAACAGCTCAAGATCTGGATAATCATCTGAAATTAAGGAATTTCAAAAATTATTAATTTAATATCACTTATTATTAATTAAGTTCTTATGTTATTATAGGTGCGCATTTTGATTTAGTTAATAACGCTTTAATCTTCGTTTTGAAAGATGTAACTTGAAATATTTTTATAATATAATTATCAAATAGAAAAATTACTATTTTACTTTTATTCTTATGAATAGAAAATGACCTATTGTTGTAATAAAACACGCTGTTAATATAACGTTAGAATTTCATCAATTAGTTAATAAATAAGGATGACTTCAAATTGAAATAATAGGAGTAATATTCAGTTTAAACTTTTTTACTACTTGAATATTTAGAATTGTGTAAAACATTGTACAACATGTATATTTTTTGAGAACAACCGATTGACAAAATCTAATTGTATTACTCCCGAGGTAACGAAAATTACTTTTTTAAAGGATATTTAATGTATCAAAAAGAGAAAAATAATAATTTGTGTTTAAAATTCAAATAAAAAATTTAGAGTTCTTAAACCATAACTATTTTACACAAAAATGAACATAGGAATGAACATTTAAAATTCGCTTAAAAATAATGGTTTAAAGTTGAGCCGAAATATTATTACTTTGAACCATGTAAATTTGAATATTTGCTGCATTCTTAGTAAGACTAATCGTGTTAATTTAATTGTGTTTCCGTTTAACCATGTTTAGTTAACCAAAGATAGATGTAATCAAGTTCAGTAAGAAATTGATTGCATGATAATTGGGTTCAATCTGCTTTTTTATTAAGATCGTACCGAATTTGAACGTTATTATGGCTTTACATTATCAAAAGTTTTAAACAGTGGATAGTTTTGACTTTATGAATTAACTCTTAAATTTGTACACTGCCCAAAATTTCTGTATAAAGTACCGGCATTCTGGCCACATCATTCGTAATATCCATTTTACTGTAAAATCAGTCTTTACCGTGAAATATAATACCGCAATTTTTACAATAATAATTATTTAAATAAAGTGATTCGATGATTTTACGGTAATTATTACTGTAAAAATTACGGTATACAACGTTTTTTGTTTCGTTACATGTTCCGATAAAAATGGATTTCACCGTAAATGGTACTAGCACCTTGAGTGCTGGTGCTTTTTACCATAACTTGATCCCGATTACTTTACAGTGTACTTTAAAACAGTTATCTATAACTATTTTGTTGTATTAAACAGAAATTTTTTTATAAACAACTATATTCTAACTGATAAAATTAAAGTTATATTGGTTTAACATTTAATATCTCCGCGTGAAATGGAATCGTGTGAATATAAAATTTAGCTTCAAAATCTCATGCAGCTGTGCACGTAATTCTACTAATTTTCCAAACATATTCTGAAATATATCATGGTAATTTTCTGCACAAATTACTATGATAAATGTTAACATATATCTTGTTCACTTATCTTTTCTTAAGAAATATAAGCTCATATAAGTAATCTTAATTAGTGTGTCAAACCAGCAAAGAATAATTATATTTCTACAGAAAAACTTTTAACTGTAAAAAATGCTATTTACCATTAAAAGAATTACACATTAGATTTAAATAAAATTAGAAAAACTAACAATTATTTTAATTATGGTTATTGGACACTGTGAATGTGGCATTAATTAAACAAAAAAATTTTAAAGCGAAATTTCATTAGAGAAATTCTGGTAGGCAGGTAATTTTAAATCTCGTTCTTACTTTTCTCATTTGTTTAAACCATTAAATGTTAAAATGTTTTACGTTTAAAACTATGTAATGAAAAGAATTATCTTTATAAACAATACCATTTTCTCAATTTAAAAATACCTTCATTTTCTAAAATACTTAATTTTAAAACATTATAAATTTTTCACCCACATACTTTCTTCAATGATAATTATTGAGGAACATAAAAATGAATGCTTTAAAGTTTTAAGAGCATTTCAAAAGAAACATTTTATTTCATTATATGTAATTTAAAAATTGTTTCTTTATTTTGCCAAGCTTTATTTTGTGTATAATTCCTTATTTCTTAATTTTTTCTTAACTTCTACTTTTACTTTAAACTAATGGTCAATGGTTCCACAAGGTTGAAACCATTAATCGTTCTAGTTCATACATACACAGCAAAATATTTTTGTGTATTTCTACTACTTTCTTCTCTCAAAAGCATTATAGAAAGTAAAAAAATACAACGTTAATAAATAAAGAAACAATGTCGCTAAAATTTCACCTACTACAATTTGGCACTAAAATTAAAATAAAAAATGTGTTAATAATGAATAAGTCTATATAATCATTATTTTATGGCTAAGTTGTGTTCATACACATAGTTTTAAGAGCATAAATTTGGAGTTTAGAATGTATAAAAGGGAATAATTTGTATGCGCATGATGTTTTAAGAAAAAGAGGCACTTGCTTAAAGTTCATTTATATATTAAATTAAAAAAATTTAATTCCAAAAAGAGATAAATTAACTTATCCATGACATGTATAAGGTGCTCCTTTAGCAAAGTTTTCTGTACAGCCAACTGCAGCACAGTAAAGCGCCATATTTTGAGATTTTTTACTTTAAAAACCGCATCAATTTTCTTCCATTGAAATAACAAGAAACACTCTCCTGACACGTGGTTTCGTTCTGATGACAAAAATTATCGTGATGTGCACGCTCTATTTACATTTCTCTTCCATGATCTACACAATAATTCTTGAAATAAATTTAGTTTGTAAATCAAAAAAGCACAAGAACGGATAGAAATTATACAATTTAAAATCATTGAACACCATTTTCAGAGATTTAAAAATTAATTAATCCTTAATACACAATTAAAAACACATATACATATTTTGAGGACAAATTTTTATTTGTGTTGACGAGTATGAGCATAAAAGACAACTAACAAATTCTGACCAGCTTATTCTAGATCGAAAACAAGCTACTGGCGATACTTTACTTGGTGTGTCTTGAACTTTTGATACTCAAATCTCTCCAACATTGGTATTTTCGGAAATGAAAAAAAATTCTCGTAAATTGTGAAAGCGCAAGAATTTGGTATGAGATTATTCAATTTTAAGTGATTCGATTTAAGTTATACCCTTTAAATAGTATTATGAACACGTGATTTGTTGCTCACATGAAATAAAGTGTTCCTTCTCGCAATGTTTTGGGTTATTCAACATCATACTCAGAGAGATATTATACCACAATTTTTTCAGTGTAAGAAAAAGAGGATTATTTCATTTTTCTCGTTTAAAAAGAAATGTTTGGGTTTATAAAAATTATTTACGTAAATATTTATATTTGAGTGAACAAAAATATTACTTGAGCTGTGTTCGTGCAAAACAAAGTTATTTGTATTTAAAAGTTAAGCTTTTATCAACACAAAATAATACGTCCTTCAACTTTCGGACCATTGTTATATCATCTTCAGTTGCTTCTGCATCTTGTATTGAATTTTAATGCATAGAAACCTTTATTTTTGAACAATGTATAATTGGATTTTTAAATAAATTACTTCTAATGAGAAATTACCGTCTTATTTAATAGTTAGTCCTTATTGATCACTAATTCGTATTAAAAGAAAATCAAATTGCGGTCGATTCGAGAATTTTATTTACCAGAGAAACGATAATTTAACGGTTTTAGCCAAATTTCTTTAGAACAAAGCTAAAACTTCTGCTTATTTTGTTTGTAACTTCCTTTAAATATTCAATATTAACTCAAGCACCAGGCTTAAAGGCTCTGGGCATTTTTCCAGCTTTTGCGTTATGGTAAAACATAATACTCGACGTAATAGCAAGAAGTGTGGAATACTTTAAAAATATATTGTTTTTTTAAACTTGTAGTTGTAAGTATTTTCAGTTCAATACATATATAGATAGATATGTATGTATATATATAAGGAAAATAATTTAATCAAAATTTTACTTCAAAAGTAATCGATTTTATACTTAATATTTTCTCATTTAATTGAATTTTTTAAAAGAATCCGTCGTTTCAGTTATATAGAGCAAAACAAAATTGTAGGGTAAACAATTTTTTACATCATTTTGAAGACAGAAATTTTACATGGCAAAATACAAAATTTGTGCAAATAGTTCGAAGTCCTCAAGAAATAGAATTTTAGAAAAGTCGTATTTTTAAAATTCGATTTCTCAGAAACTATAATTATGCTACTTCAATTATCTTATATATACTGTTTTCTTTCTTCATTTATTATTAAAAACTTCCATTGACTAATGTCTCATATAATATCACGTCATAGTACCAAATGTAATGTTACCCTTTCTGCCCTTAGAATGTCGTGAAATAAAGATGTGATGCTGGTCCCGGCAAACAGCACAGCCACTGAATGGAGCTAGCTGAGGTGCCATGAACCTGGATGCAGAGAACCGAGTCGTCCTAAACGTCGGTGGTATCCGGCATGAAACTTACAAGACGACTCTGCGGAAAATACCGGCCACCAGGCTCTCCAGACTGACTGAGGCACTCGCCAACTACGATCCTGTCCTCAATGAATACTTCTTCGATCGGCATCCTGGAGTCTTCGGACAAATTCTCAACTACTACAGAACAGGCAAACTTCACTATCCAACTGATGTCTGCGGACCTCTCTTTGAAGAAGAACTTGAATTTTGGGGACTTGATTCCAATCAGGTAATCACAATTTTTTTTATTTAATTTGTTTCTAAATATTAATTGATCACAATAATATTGGGTGGCTAGTGCTCCATCTTACGCAAGGACCTCCCCTCTAAACTTACTTTTTCTAGTGTAGTAATATTTTCTGTTATAAGAATTAAAAATGGAATTTAGTTTATTAACTTCATTCTAAAAATAAATTTTTTGAACTTTTATAACTCTCACCAATACTTACAAACGCATTAACACTTCTTTTTTTCAGTATATTAAAAAATGAATTGCGCTGCTTTTTAATATCATACAACTACTGTAAAAAATGTAAGTTAAAAATATTGAAGTGAAACTTTTTTCTCTAAAAGTAAGCCTTACATATTTAAATTTTCTGCACCTTCTCTCAGTTTTAGCATTTAAACAACATTTTTTCTAATTAGTATACCCGTTTGATCACTTTGGTGCATATTCGGACATGACGTCATATTCTCTAAGGCTCTGCTTTAATGTTACTTACCCAAAATTTATTTGTAGATCACGTTTGTAACAAACATTATTGAAGTGCAAAAATCCCTCAGATAGAGTTCTCGCTTTGAATTGATGTGATTCAGTTTGTATCATTGCAACAATAATTGATGTATTCGTATATTTCACCAAATTTGCACTGAGACATACTAGACTGTTGCACAAAGGCACGTCACAATGAGAATTGTTTTTGGCACAAAAATTCCCAGTGTGGACGCATAATGTATTAGAATTCTCTTGCAGTTTAGTTCTATTACCTATTAACCCAAATTTAGGTAAGTTTCATCTGAATTCGAGAAAAAATTCTGCTACGAAAGTCAATTTGCTTGAATACCGGTCAAATAAGTTCCCTATTCTTATCAGTTGACTTCAAAAATGCAAGTGCAAAGAGTTGAACATTAAGATCTTCATGTCCATTATAAGTCATTTGCTCAACACCAATTAAATAAAACAGATCGAGAGTAGAGAGCATCTGCTTCCAACACTAAACTGACCAGGTTAACAATTGATTCCTCCACTGTTTCAGACCTGAACTGACCAGAGCATTGGCACTAAATATGCACTGTCATAGCCGAAATTTTTAATCAAAATACTCCAATGGTTGAGCTTCCAATGAATAGTTTTTGTGGGTTTTTTTCGGTCTCGTAACACAAAAATGGATTGAGTCCACTCGAACGTTTAGGTGCGCAAAATACAAGCTTAGACATGCATTATTTTTAAGACTGCAACCATTCGCACAGTAGTAATAATCATAAAATTTCTCTGAGTTACCGTGTCCTCTCTATGTAAAGCAAAAATATACGTATATATTTATACTCTAAACGGTAAAAGGAACAATAAAACAAATTTGCCACGTGACTTATTTAGGAGTTTTGCTTGTCTTTGTGTTAGATCCAGAATTATAGAAGTAAATTTCATTTCTTTAAATCCACTTTCATACATAAGATGTTTACTGATTATTAAAATACAACTCAAATACACAAATTATTAAAATAAAAAATTTAGTAATGAACACTGGTAAGTATTTTTTTAAAGTAATAAAAAATAAACAATGAAAAAAGAAAAATTTTTAAAAAAATGAAAAAATACTCGCTAATCTCTTAATGTGTGGATTTGTAGGTGGAACCTTGTTGTTGGATGACATACACTCAGCATCGAGACACCCAAGAAACTCTGGCTGTCTTAGACCGATTGGATCTTGACACGGATAAGCCAAGCGATGAAGAAATTGCTCGAAAATTCTGTTTTGAAGAAGATTATAACAATGGTACTCTTTCTTGCTGGCAAAAAGTCAAACCCAAAATATGGTCTTTGTTTGATGAGCCTTATTCATCGCTATGGGCCAAAGTAAATATATCATCAATTATTTTTTTACACTGGAATATGAATACTGATTCTGTCTTTATAGTGAGTAGAATGGTAAACAAACATTTTATTGTTGCTTAAAAGATAATAATAATACTGAAAAAGAAGAATTGCGTAGAAGAATTGAGAAGAAGAATTTCAATAAATTGCGTTAAACGTAAACAAAGCTATGTTATTTTGATAAAAAATGTCTTTCTTATTATACAATTCTTCATTTAAAATGCATTTCTTATGATGGATTTATCAAAACTATGGACAAAAAATTAAACAGATAATATATTCAATGTAAAAACGTGATGACCGGTAACTTATACATTTTTTTCAAAGAACTGAACTTCACATATCTTTTACATATTTTTAAGAAAACTCTTAAATAAATTAATATATTATACTAAAATAATGGATTTCTAACTTTATATTGATATATTTGCCACTTATAATTGAAATACAGCTTAAAAATTTAATTTTTTGTTAATGTTACTAAAATATAAGCATTCTTTTGTGACTTCAAATACTTAGTTTTTCCTCAGAAAAATTATTTCATAAATCACGTGTTTATCAAACTATGCATCATCGCAACATTTCTCGTCCAATCTCAACAGCTCCATTCTAAGATCACAAATATTTAACTGGTCCTACTTAGACACTAGTCGAAATTCGTTAATTCTTCCTCAGAATAAGCATTCATTATGCACTATTATAAAAAAAATCATGTTTTTTTTTCTATAATATTAGTAATATTAGTTCATGCTAGTTCCCTTCAATAATTTAATTACACGATGATATCAAAATAGATGCATTTTCCCTAAAAACAAATGGATTTTTTCTCATAAAAACTTATAAATCAAATCTACATCATAACTACATATGTACCTCAACAGTTCAATTTTTACTACAATAAAAAACACTTTACTGGTCCAATATGCGTGATGATCCAAATTAGGTGATTCTCATCTAAAAGCATTATTCATTCACAGTTAGAAATTTCTCGGAAAAAATTATTAAATAACACTTAATTGAATGGTTATTTTACCATATTTAATCAAAACAGTCAAATTACCATAAATTAAATGGTAATCAGACTGTTAAGTTTGAGAAAAACTGTTTATTGATTGCGTTCACCTAATATGGTTAAACAACCAGAATTTTATCTCACCAATTAGAACCACCTAATGAAGCTACTTAGTTCTATGCAACGGCGTACATATCATAGCCGAGCGGGCTTCTCTGTCAATCTCATAACCGGCAGAACTGGAGTTCGAGTCCTAATGGTGACACCACAATATTTCTTCAATTTCCTTCACCACATGGAGAATTTTCAGTGTCCGGCACTCACTAATTACCATTACCTTACGAAAAACCGAGCTCCTATGCCTAGTTAGATAATTATTTTTTTAACGTTTTTGAAAAATGCTAGTTGTAAATGGTTTCGAAACCATAAAGGAAAAAAATCTTCTTTACCGTAAACTTTACGGTTAATCGCATGGGCAGACAGCTGCCAGTTATTTTACCATAATTTTAGAATGAAAATTTTAACAGTGTTCATTGGTATTCCAAAAAGTAATCTTTCCTGTTTATAATTCCAGGTAATAGGCGTGATGTCAGTTTTCTTCATCTGCGTTTCCATTCTTTCTTTCTGCTTAAAAACTCATCCAAACATGCGAGTTCCAGTTATCCGAAATGTCACAGTAAAAGATACGACAACAAACACGATAGCATGGACACTGGACAAAGTGTCCACTTATCCCCACGATGCCTTCTTTTTCATCGAATGTGCATGCAATGCTTGGTTCACTCTTGAGATCTCTATTCGATTCATGTCCTGTCCCAGGAAATTGGAATTCGCAAGAGGAGCTGTCAATGTCATTGACTTCACGGCCACCCTGTCATTTTACATCGACCTTGCTTTGCAGAGATTCGCTTCTCACCTTGAAAACGCCGACATCTTAGAATTTTTTAGCATCATTAGAATCATGAGGTATGTTTTTTTAATACCTGCAAGGGGTTTTCACAACGTGCAGTGCACAAAAAATAAGCGAAATGAACTGAAAGGCTTTCGATCTAATGATCGGATTTTCACATACTAGGATTCAATTTTAATGGTTTGAGGAGGTGACCTCAAGTATGTTAATTAGTAATAGCATGGGATAGTTTAAGTTACGTAGTCAGACCCAAAAACGTACTTTATTTGAATAAACATAACGTTTTTTCAACAGATTCGGATTTCTGATCGTCAAAACATAGAGGGTGGTCTTGGAATTTTTTTAGATATATCGCTTAAATTTTTCATCTTGCCATATAAAATTACACTTCTTAAAAGCATGTAAAAATTTTTATATCTAAAAATTCAAACAATTTTCGACCATTATTAAATAAAATATGAAAAAAAAATAATTCATAAAAATTATTTATTGTATAAAAATATCTTTGGATTAACGAATTTTATATTTGAGTCCAAAAATTTTTCAAATCTTTTGAAAAATTCCCGAGTTAGGGCGAAATATACAAAAATCAAAATTAACATTCAGGGGATCCAAACTTTGGAAAACTGTGACGGCCAAAATATTGTAGCTTTATTCTCCACATTACGGCTACCCCCTACATGTGAAGGGTCAGAAATCCAAATCCACTTTTTTAAGAAGTATTCAGAGGAAGTACATTTTCATGTCCAATTTCGTAATTTAAACTATCGTCTGCACTAATAAAGTACCATATTTGTGGTCACCATTAAGATTGATCCTTACTACAATTATTAGATTAAAATTTTTTCAGGGTGTTTCGTTTTTTTTTCTGTACACCTACGATGAAAATTTTTGGAATCTTTGTCTGAACTTAAAGAAAAATAATTGCTAGTGTGGTCACAAATTAATATTTAAGTGAAGTAAAAACAGAAACACTGTCGCAGGCACTCTTGTGGAAAACTGGTGAAAAATACATCGAAACCTGTTTAATTCTTCGAGAAAACAGAGGAGAGTGGAAAAAAGTGGTTATTAGAAAAATTTTAAAATTTAAATCGGGTCAGATAAGTTTCGATGTTTTGTGCACCGGCTTTCATCGATTATGATTTTCCAGACTTTAGTATTTTTGTTTTTATTTTACTTAAATATGAATATGTGACCACCAATGTACAAAATTATACTATCTTTTTTTTATGATTACTAGAATTCTAAACATGTATATTTTAGTTGTTCATTGCAAAACATCTTGCACTGAGAAAACTAGTATACGGTAAAATTTATCATGCTACTGGCTCTATGAAGTACAATAATACTAAATATCCAAAAGTACAAAAAAAAATTTTCCTAGTAGCTTTGGTAATGACTTTTGACAAAATTAACAACAAAATATGTTTTTATTACAGTTCAGATTTGTAGTAAATGTGACAAAATTTAATAATTTTATCATGATACCTTAAACAGTGGTACAAGAACCATTTATTCGGTTAAGTTTATTTTTCTGCCTTATTTTGTTTACTAAATTTGTGCTTGTGGCGTAACTACCACTACAAATATTAAATACCAAGTCACTAGTATATAAGACATGTTAACTTGATTCTACCGAGAGGTACCTTTGATAGATGATGATTGACATAGCCCATAATTAAATCCCTTCAATGGTGACCCGGACGTGGTAGGAACTTGCTAACATTGATGGATTATCCACACTAAAACAGTTGATTTGCTTAAAGGTATACTGCTCAAAAAAAATCTTCTGTGGCGAATAAAATCATCGCCAAGCAGACATAAATAATGCAACCCTAGAGCAGAACAGTAGTACGTCTTTTGCAGTGTGGCGACGTGCGCGTAAAGAAGTATGAATAAAGCTTAGTTTTCATCCATGTAATGTGTTCTTTTCATGCAATGTGTTCTTTTTAAAAGCAAAATGCTCATTTGATTAAGTCTTTGAACGATCTAATATGGATAAACTAATTATTCCATATGCTAATAAGAAAACTTTGAAAGCCAGAATTTTCAAGAGACCGTTACCATATAAACAAAAAAATTATGAAATGAATGAATTTAATACCGCATACTTTGATTTTATTAACCAGAATTATGGTGCAGATTTTTTTACCAGAAATGTTATAACCATACAGTATGGTAAATTCACTAGATTTTTTCGCTTTGATGTAATGCATTAATATATGCATATATTTCTACTTTAGCACTTTGTAAGCAGAGTAATACAGCACATGAAAATGCAAGTATCTTCTCACATCATGAAAAATTAATTATTTTCGTCCAAAATAACTGCCACGGAAAATTTCTGCAAAAATGTGTCAGATTACCTCCCACCGAGTCCAGGGCATAAATTTATAAGCTCGCTTTTATTTATAATGTGTTAATGACTCAAGATAAGGAAAGAGTTTTAATTAAGAGGTACGGAAGCATGTAAAGGATTCACTTGAAACACGTTTGATAAATGTAGTCATGCAATAAAATGAGTGACATTTATAATGAATATGCACTCGGTTCAGATAAAAGTGTTGCATTCGGATGAAAAATGTTTAAAAGCAACATTTCGAGACTTTATGTGATCATATTTTAATATTAATTATTTCTTACCTCGGTTATTATCACGAGCTTTCTTTGATATGCAACTTTAAATGTATTTTTAATCAAATTAACATGCTGGCTGTTTTAATAAATAATCAGAATAGGCTGATATTTTTCTCTTAAACTATGTTTTAATTAAATTTTCTGAGCAGCACAAAACATAGCATTTAGATCTCAGAAACATTTCCATTAAAGATAAAAATGAATCGTTGCACATATTTTTGAAAAACTAAGATGTTCCAAATGCTTGTTTGTTTGTTTTTTTAAATTTTAAAGATATTAAAAACTTTTGAAAAAGATTTCAAAGCTATTAAAAGTTGGTGATTGCAAATTAATACTTTAAATATCAAAGATTAAATCAAAAATTTACAATAAATTACAGTATTTACAATTTAAGGAATGAATAAAACTTGCAGCTAACCATCTGACAGTATAAAATTAAGTTCTTTGCAAAAATAAAAAAACAACTTACTCAACAGAAAAGCTGCAGCATTTTTTTTAATTTCGTTTTTATACACATTTAAGAGCAATAAGAATTCTAATTAAAGCTGTAGTTTTCTGTAAAGCTGTGTATATTTTAATTAAAATGTTAATTTAACATTTCCCTAAAAATAATATTTTGCAGTATGAGAGTAAGAAGAGCACGTGGCTTAAAATAAAAAAAAATAAAAAGAAATTGTGTTTTAAAGATTTCAGTAGGATTAAAAATATTATATCATATATGAACTGGTGAATAATATACAATAACTACAAAACTGGTTATTTAAGCTTCTCGTGAAAATGATAAGACATTTAAGCTTAATGCAATTACGTAAATTGGTGAATGTATCTTAACAAACTTACAAATTAAACTAAACCTGATATTAAAAACAAGCATCATTATTTAAAATGCAACTGTAAAGCTTATTACAATAATATTTTATCCTAAAATTTAATATATCCTGTATCTTTAAATACTTTACTTATGTTAACATGTCTATACTACTTTGCTTATGTTAAAATGTCTATAGTATAACAAATTGTATTTGACGATACTTCTGTTTTTTTTTTTTTTTTTTTTTTTAAATTTTTTTTTATGCCGTAAAGAAAATTGCTTAAAATTTATTTTAAACTAAAGGTAAAAAAACTATTCCTTATTTAATCTAATATTTAATACAAAAGACAAGAAATGTCAATTTAAATTTTCCTGCAGCTGTCAAACATTCGATATAAATACATAAAGAGAAAAAAATATTTCCCATGAAAATATTTTTTGTCTAAATCTTTGAATAAATATTTTTATACTTAAAAAATATTCTTGCCAACTTGTTTAAATTTCTTTATTAGCTCGTAACTAAACCACTACTATTAGATAACAAAAGTAAAGTTAAATAGTATTTAAGGTTATATATTTAAGCTAAAGAAATATTTTTAATTTATTTGAAATTATTTTATAATATAATTATTAATGTTATGGAAAAAAATTCTGTAACCTTGATAGGGCAGTGATAGCAAATCATTCGTGGCTAAGCATTCTTCTCACATTGAGGTGACCTAGGCTACTACCCCAGAGATGGCAGGTTGATACGTATATTGCTCCTGGATGTTACCGACCACACTAGTGGCATAAAAATATTCTCAGTTGCAGACGGATCATGGGTTAGAATCCCCCTGTCACCGGGCTAACCATAGGAGGTTTTCGCAGTTTCTCTCCCCTTTAAATGTCCCACCCCGCAAATGTGCGTAAGTTCCATCAAAAAGTCCTCCACTACAGTTAGTTTTTCCTAATGTTTGATCCAAAAGTTCTCTTATAGTTGGGTTCAAAATTGCAAGGACACGGAGTTAAACATTGATAGTCGTCAACTCAGAACTGGGTCAGCTGCTATACGCCGGTTATAAAATGTAAATAAAATATAACCTTTATAAAATATAATCAAGCTGTATTAACTAAAAAATTTACAAATATTTCCACACATTATAATTTAGCTAAAACCCATTATAAGAATTCACAATATAACAGGCAATTAAGTTTATGTCCATAGAAATATGTAAGCCATTAATATATTGATACCCCTTGCAATATTTTGAGCTATTCTAATATAAGTTCGAAACACATACAAGTATGAAAGGATAAAATAAGTTCGAAACCCATACAAGTATAAAAGAGTTTATTAGGTTTCAAAATTTCACCCATAAGCTTTAAGTTCGTGTTCTGTGGTTTTATATATATGATTGAGTGCGTTTTTTTGACAGGAATTTTCGAACAATAACTTGAGATATTTTTTTCATTTCATCATATATAAATTAGTTCTTAACTCGTAATTGTAAATCAACCTTCAAATCTGATAAAGTCATATTTTTCCACATCCTTTATAACCGAGTATGATGATTCTGATTCCGCCAAAAAAAAATATTAATTCATCGCTAGAACTTTGTGAAAAAATAAAATTCTTATAATAACTCAAATTTAAATCAACGAATCATATCAAGTATCATGGACTGCTCCAACCGAGAAAATTCTTCAAACAAAGCAAGTAAAAACCATACCATTAAATCAGAAACTATCCAAAGTACTTTTTAATAACTATACAATAGACATCTATAAGTACAGTAAATTTTCTAAGTCATATTGAGAATTATCCCACCTCCTTTGACATGCAAATACCCCTGAAAGAAATATGATAGCTAAATTAGATTCACTCTAGGATAAGTACAATAAATTTTTTAAGTCATATTGAGAAATATCTCAACACCTTTGACATGCAAATATCCTTCAAAGAAATACGATAGCTAAATCAGATTGTATTTATCACAAAAGCAATTCATAAAATTTTATTTCAACACTTTTTTATGCTTTGCTAGATTTATTTTCGTATTTTGAGTGTTTTTTAATATTCATTTATGCAATTTCTTTTAATTATAACGTATTTCTTTATTTTATTGCATCACTTCATAATTTTTCTATTTTGCTTTATAGTTTCCATACATCGTTTTTATCAGTTTATAATTCTCATTATTTTTAGGTATTGTTTAGTTTCCTACTGTAGAATACTGTGATACTTGCAAGCAGCATAATTTAACCATCTTTTTATTCATAGAAATATTAAAATTGGTGGATAATTTTTATTCAACTAATAAGTATTGTAAAAATCCTAAAAAATCCAAATGGCAACAGCAATAATAATAAGCAGTATAACAAGCAGATGATATTTTCAGCACAAGAATCAGACGATAATTTTTGGAACTTCTGAGAACGGATTTCTTTTTCCAGGAGGCAGTTTTTTTGGTACGAAGAAATTATGTAAGCCCGCTTACCGTGAAAACAAATCTTAGTTGATATTTAGAGAGATGAACTTCCCGTTACGGGAGAAACAAAATAAAGAGATATTGAATTTCATCGATCAAAGAATTTTCAGTAATTGTTTCTGTTATGTTAGTATGGAATAATCTTTATGGAATATCACATAACTAATGGAATCAATTGAATTCATCTGAAGTCTTCCTGATAATGTTTTTTTTTATTTCCAATGAGCTGCACAGTCGGTCTTGGCGATGAGCAGACCTAGTGCGTTCTCCAGAGGTGGTATCCCCTTTTTCAGGACCACCACAATGGGTGAGATACCGTTGGTCATGTTAATTTGGACGTCTAGTTTCTGCCACACTAGATGGCAGCACCGAGACTCTATTTGGATGCTAAAGTGCACTAGGAATTTAATTTTGCCGGAAATGCCAAGAGCCAATAAGGCACTCCAGGGATCTTTTACATGCCGCATAATCATACGACATGGCCGCTGAGGATTTTCTGCATCCCGAAAATCCGGTGTCTGGGCCGGGGATCGAACCCGCAGACTTGGGCTCAGAAGGCCGACGACAAACCAACTGCACCACCCAGCTACCTTCCTGATAATGTTGATGGATTCACTTTTTATTTAAAAAAAACTTGCTCTTCAGTTAGAACACTCGTCATAGTATGCATAGTAAAAAGCTAAATGAAGCTAAATAATTTAATAACGATACTAATATAGTATTAGCTATACAAAATTTTATAATTGTGCAATATAATAAAATATATATGTTTTCAATTTTTTTTTCATTGTATTTCTTATTTATGTTGCATTTGATATTAATCGAGTTCTATTTTTTTAAAGGCTTTTCAAATTAACCCGGCATTCAGCTGGTCTCAAAATCCTGATCCAGACATTCAAAGCCAGTGCTGGCGAACTCATTCTTCTTGTGTTCTTCCTGGTCCTGGGAATCGTCATTTTTGCTTCTCTTATCTACTATGCTGAACGAATCCAGGCCAATCCCAACAATGATTTCACCAGCATACCTTTGGGACTTTGGTGGGCCCTGGTCACCATGACCACTGTGGGATACGGAGACATGGCACCAAAGACATATACAGGCATGTTTGTGGGTGCCCTTTGCGCCCTGGCAGGTGTGTTAACAATAGCTCTGCCCGTGCCTGTTATTGTTTCCAACTTCGCTATGTTTTACTCTCATACCCAAGCAAGGGCAAAACTTCCTAAAAAGAGGAGGAGGGTGTTGCCCGTGGAACAGCCCCGAGGACCTAGAGGAGGCAGAGGGCCACCAGGGGCGGGAGGAGATCGAAGGATGAACGCCCTCAAGCAAAATCATCCCAAGGATATGCTCACGCCCAAGTTAGGTAAGTACAATAAACTTGATCTTGAAAAAGATTCAAGGCTTTTTAAATATGGATGGAGTTATTTTTAGCCATTGAAGTATACGTAAAATCTTAATGAGTTGATCGTTAGGAATTTCGAAAAAGAAAAGGAAGTTCGTAAATTGGTAGATAATGAATGATTAATATTTAAAAAGTGTTTTCAGGTAAAATTTAATATTTAATGAAGTTATTTTAAATGGCAGAAAAAAGGGAGACTCGAAAGTAGCTCAACAGTCACTTTACAACTAGTTGTAAATATAGGATTTTCCATATTTTTGTCCATAGATTCGAATCTGAAATAGCCTTTAGAAATGTGGTATGTGTTTTTTTAGACATTTCAAATAGTTGCTTGAAATATGCATTTTTTATACTTTTCTATGAAAGGTAAGACAACTATCAAATGGTAAATGACGTCTTTTTAAGCCAAATCAAATAGATATTTGGCATACTTATGTTAATGTTGGACGATTTTAGTTTTGCTTTTAAGATCTTAACTGTTAACAAAAACCCAGTATTATAATCTGTTTTTTTTAACTTTGTTTTTTTATTTACTCGCACAACAAACTTTTACTAAGAGAAATATGATGGTTAAAACTCGGCAATTTCGAAGAAAAAAACGGAATAGGGGTGGCAATGTGGTGAACATTACACACAAGACGTTTTTAATCATTTATATACGCAACATATCCAGAAAATCTGACACGATAAAAAAATCTAATTTTTTTCATGGAATGCAGCACCTCGAAATTAGTTTAGAACACACATTTATTAAACAGATTTTAAAAAGAAAATTAAATTTATTGCCGCGAATATGTCATCTTTGCAAACCCCCAAAATTTTACGAAAAACAGAAGGTCAATTCATACACTATTAATAATCGTTGATCGTGAGATGTCGATGCATTATAAACAAGGAGATAGATATGAATAAACTCTCAACCTATTCACGTTATTAATTGCTCCTTTCATAAACTATTTTTAGTATGTTATACACAATTAATTTTTGAATTTTCATAATCTCGTCACATTTTTTCTTACGTATAACAGTTTTTTATACAAACAAAATACTTTAAATTACGTCTAGAAAAAAAAATAAGAACAAGAAAAGTTAGGATAATTTATTCAAGAGTTCTTCAAAAATATAACAAAATTAAAACACTTGAAACATGACTTCAATTTACAAATTTAAAGGTTCAAAAACATCATTTGTATGGGATTAATTATCCTTAGTAGTGCTGTCATACGGATCTGAATCTGCAATGGATTATACTTCATCCTCATCTGCTAAGTCTAACAAAGTCTTGATCCCCATCCAAAGAATTCACAATTCCACACTTTTTAGAATATTTGACAATAACATTTTAATCTACATTTTGTCTCGCATCTATTATCATTTGACACATGACCTATATAGGAATAATTGTTGACTTACCGGCATAACCGAAATTCGCTATCTCGTAATCAAAAATAGGAGGTCTATTTAAAACCCAGGTCGACTTATACACCGGTATGTATGGTAAGTAAATAGTGTTATTAAATTTGTTTCCCTTCATGATAATTCACCAAAAAATTTAATGATGATAAAAGTTTATTAAGAGAACTTAAACGTTAAGTTTCAGAAAAAGCTAGATCTGCATAAAAAAAGAGTTATTCATGGAAATGTATTTTTAAAAATAATTTGCATGTACCTCCAAAAGTTCTCATACTATTTTTATAGCTATAAAACTAGATTCACGTTTATCTCATCCTTCTCGTGTTGTAATAAATAAATGTTTTTCATGGTTATCCTAAATAGGAATTGAAATAATTTTTAGTATAAAACATGCAATGCATAACAAAATAAATTAAAATATCAATTACATTGATCAAAGAAATATCAAGTATAATTTCTCATAATGTAAATAGCGAATTGGCAAGACGTTTAAAATTTGTAACCATAATTTTGATAAATCCAAGATTTAACTATGTAGGCATCGACATCTTTCCTGGTTGGCCAATTTTAATGCCGTGGGCAATTTTTTCAACTTACCTATCTTTGCACTCCAGGTTATGTAAGATACTATCTGTCTCTGAATAATTTTAAACATTAAGTTAATCGAACATAAAGTAAATTGTAAAAGTGCATAATTTAAAATATTGAAGTCTGGAACACAGAATATCTTAACATTTATACAGTGGCATTAAGTGTGAAAACGTATAATCGGATACTTTTCACCCTTGCACCCTCTCAAATCCTTATGGAAAGTCCTCAAATCCTCAAATTCAAAATCGTTGTGGAGTGCACCCTTTAGTTACAAAATAGTTTGAAAATATATATAGTTTTAGATAAAATATGTTAGAAAAGTTATAAAATTAGGAATATATAGATATAATTTTAAATTATTTATTGTAAGCACAGAAAAAATCGTGAAGATCTAAAGAGTTTAAAGTTCGAAAGAAATTTCCAATTATAAGCAAGATTTTAAAATATTTTCTTAAACACTTAATATAATTAAAATTTCTGATATTTATTAATATTCTTAACTATGCATATATTTGAGAATAATTGCAATATTTCTTATTATTTACGAACTCCTTCAAATTTAGTCTCAATCAAATTGTTTCTTATTATCTGTAATAAATTTTCAAAGCGATTATATTTACTTCTAAAGGAATAGTTTTCAAAGAAAATATTCATTAAACATTACAACATCTATCAAAGTGTTATTTTGGAGTTTACACATTTCAAAAAATTTATTTGTGATGCTATAAAAATACAGTTATGTACAGAGATTGAAGGAATTGCTTCAATTTTGGCTAGTGTATTAAGCTTACAAATAAACATGCTATACAAATAATTGATACTTTAGTATTTAGGAATTCAAAAATATATTCCTTAAGTATGATTTTCATGAGAAAATTTTAGAGTATCATTTCTGAAAAAATAGAGATTCATGAGAAGGCTTCAAAAATATTTCTGAAGCATAAATGTGACATTTATGAGGAAGCTCTATTACATTCTTTATACATAAATGGATTTTTTACTATGAAATTTTAAAGAAAAAATAAAAAATTTATGAGATAGTTTTTTAAAAAAAACTTTCTCTGACATGAATAGGTTTTTAAGAAAAAATATCTTTATTTCTGAAACGTAAATAGTACTTTTTTGTGACGTGAGAGAAACATTTTGATCTCTTTAAAATAATAAACTATCAAATTCATTTTGGATACATTAAATTGTAACTATTAAGCTTGTTATAAAGCTTATCCTAAATTTATATTTTTCTTCGTTAATTTTGATTGACTGCATTCCCATAAACTAAACTCTCCCTTTTACGATTAGCTATTCTTTGAACAATATTTCATCACTTTTAGGAAGCTTTCTGAAATGGCGTAATTTTTTATAAAATACAAACTCTCAAATATATGACGAAAGTACTTCCTCACTAAAGTTTCATTTTAGTGCATTTTTAAAGTTCTAAAACATTTTTTATTTGTGTCTTAAACCAGGTTTAATGTATAACGGGATGATGCAGGGTCTAGCGCTCTTGCTTGTTTAGCAGGTTTTTTTGCTTTCGATTTCCCAGAATATCTTGGTTATTCTTTGCGAGTACTTTATGTTGATTCTTTATGATGTTATGCTTTATTTTATGTTGTATTTCCTAATCAATTGTGTCATTTATATCTCACATTAGCCTAATGTTTTTGACGTAACTTGTCCATTAAGCCTAATGATTTTGGAGAAATTTTTGCAGTAATCCTAGTGGATTTGTCAAAACTATTGCATTAAGTCTAATGTATTTGTCAAAATATTACATATTTACATGCTTTTGACGAAAGATGAAGTTATTTAGTCATTTATTTATTTATTTATTTATTTTAATTTTGAATAAGTGTTTGACTGGAGCATTTACCAGAAACGGTTTCGACAAAAACGAAGGACTATTTGAACATTCATTTTTTACAGTGCATGACTTATTGTCAAAATCTAGGAAATTTCAATTTTTGAACATTCTCAATTTAAAGAAACGTGATTTAAGATGTAAATAATAATTATATGTTTAATTCTTCACTCCGTCATCCTGTGTGTTAACTCTCACCTCAAACTTGCTTTAAAATTTGAGAAAAGAATACTTTCCCCAATGGTTAATCCGCTCACTGTAGGGAATTGAAACTAATGCAATTCCTTCGAAAAAATATAAAATCCCTCTGATTAAAGATTTGAGACCTAATTTAGAGACACATTTAGTGCACCTCTAATTGCAAAGACGCCTCACACAATAAATGGCTTCATTGATTTGCTCTTAGCACTTAATTGGCACTTTTAAAGCTTAACAATTCCCATAAAAACGATCAATATTTTTGCAATAAATATAATTCTTAAATGAACTTTAATTTTAGGATAAGTATTTTTATCAACAAAAAAAAACTTTTTTTAATAATTGAAAATATCTTTATCTTTTCAATACTCATCAGTTCTGGAATTAATTTCTATTACTACAGTACAGATAGCTCTATAATTTTCTTGTCTGTCCTCATTCTGGGAGTATGTTCTGGGCTCTCTGTCCGGTGATCAGGTTTTCGTTAGCATTTATTAACATGTATTATTTAACCGTTCGTATTATAAGACGAGATGATACAGGGATTAGTGTGCTCGCTCAGTGATCAGGTTTTTGTTGAATGGTTAACTCTGATTAGATTATAATCAGTCGTATTATGTGGCGGGATGATACAGAGGTTAGTGCGTTAACTCGGTGATCACATTTTCGTTAAAGAATTAGATTTAAAAAAACCGTTCGTATTATATAACGGAAAGATTCAGGGGTTAGTGTGCTTGCCCAGTGATCAGGTTTTTGTTATATGATTAACCCTTATTAGATAAAAAAAAAACTTATTATATGAGGAGATGATACAAGGGTTAGTTGGCTAGATCACATTTTCTAAGTACAGTTCTTCTTGGTAACTTAGAACATATTACCATATTTTCCTTTTATTTTACATTAT